TGGGACTGCTTTTCTTGCTGGGATTGTACCCCCAGCATGAGTGCAGCATCCTTCTATAGCACCAGTGGGATCTGGATCGGGCCTGGCCATGCACTCATATTTCTGTTAAATTAACTGGCCTGCACAATCCAGAGCCTGTGCTGGCTTGGTGCCACTTCCAGAAGGACAGACAATGCCTGATCTGGTGTGCAGTCTAGCAGGGCAGTAACTGTGTTCACTCCAGAAGCAAATCTTAAAGGGAGCTGTCAGACCGAGCTTGCGCTGCGTTAGTACTCAGTTGTGTGGCTGCAGCAGTCGTGGTCTGGGGGAAGCTCCCAAGGATGTTTATTCAGCCATGCTGTAGTTATACTTAAAGCATTTAAAGCATCTGTGCGTCGCCCTGCCTTTCCTGTCCGGACAGCAGCTGTAGAAGAGTGCCTAGGAGCAAGCCAGCTAATGCCATCTGATGTTCCACGGGGATAAAGGAAATCTGAGCGTGTCAGCCAGACGCCGGGGTCTCCGTGAGGTGATGACAGAGGAGGGGTTTTCCCTGTACGTTGGTTAGCTGCCTGCACAGTGCATTCGTGCTGTACCCTGCTGCTACCTGGTTTTTCAGGTTGCTGGTGTCCTTGGACAAGTGCTGTCAGCTGGCCTGCGCTGTTCTTTATTGTGAAAGATGTCTGCTTGAAACGGGATCTCAGCTGGTTATCACACCTCTGGCTGGAGCTGCATTCCAGCCCGGGTCTCCTGAGGTGAGAGGTGCGTGATCAAATGGGACGTGCCTGAGTTTGAGCCCAATGCAGTAACCTCTGTTGTGTAATTTAACTAGGAGCCCTGGAATACCATTCAGGATTCCAGCCTGGGAGCCAAATATAAGTTACTAAGCGACTAGTTTGGATATAGCCACCCCTTGCCAGCGTTTAGCGTGCCAAACCTTTTTATCTTGTGAGGTTTTGTACCTAGGAAGGGGAAGTGAGCTGTTTTTTCTCAAAACCTGCTAGCTAAAAGTGAGGATCTGTAGCAGGTCAAAACCACAACCTTGTCCTGCAGTATGTCACCACCCACCTGATTCCAAAGCAGGTAAGACCTGCAGACTACAGGGCCCACCATCCTCTGCTTCATTATGCACATCCTCTAATCAACTTAACGACAGAGAGCTGCCTGCTGGGGCTAGTAGTCCTAGGCCTTGTTTCCTAGGCTTGCCTGGGAATGGGCGTAGGTGAAAAGTTAGTCATGCGGGAAGGTTATTAGCGTGCTTGCCTGGACTAGGTGTGCCTTGAACTTCCCTGGTATGATTTAGTAAGGAATAAGGTACCTGCAAAATAATCTTAAATCTCCTGTGGTTTCTGTCCTTATAACAGTAAGAGCGGTCAAAGGTGTCCCAGCAGGAAGGACACGAGGCAGCTGATGTCTGACAGCAGCACAGGGCAGGATTTGAGACATGTTTAAGCTGCACAGGGCCTGCACAGCTAAGGGTCCAAACAAGCACTGTGACCTCCGCTTCTGAGAGCGCAGAACTATAAAGGGGAAGCTATAACTTGTGTTTCCTTGGTGTGTTTGCCCACATGACCTAACCCTTCCACACCCTCACGCAGCATTCTTCAGGGCAGAAGTGATTTGAAATGGTTCTGAGATGGGAATTGTTGTTGTCCAGCAAACGGGGTAGTTTGGGCTTCCCCCTTGCTTCCGGCAAAGGTGAGGAAGAGTCTGTGGGTGTACGTGGAGCTGGACTGGTTTCTTCTGTTGGACTCCTGTGCTGGCTGGCCAGGAAAGCCCTGTGTTTGCATCCTGCCTGGCAGACCTCTGAGTGTGTTTTATCAGTGCTGTCCCTCCCTGGCTCGGGCAAACGCAGCAGCGAGCAGCACTTCCTGAAGCAGGCGCTGAGCTGGGCCAGTTGGCAATGGGGAGAAGAGCGGGTGCTCTGGCACCCAGAGGTGAGTGTGTCGCTGCCATTTGTGGGTGCTGTGCTGCCTGTGGGAGCTCAGCAAGGTCTCCCGTTATGGGAGCTGGTGGTGTAGCTTCCTGCCTCCCAAAGGTGGGGCCAGCACTGCTCTGCCTGCACATGCAGAGAGCCCAAGGGACCCAAACAAGGTCCTCAGCGAACAGCAGCGTGCCTGCTCCATCTTTCCTCACCATGGGCACCTTATGGTGCAGCCGTGCCAGGGCCGTCTGGCTCCATCCCTCCTGGGCAACTGTTTTGGACTGTTTCAGACCACCAGCAGAGAGGTGAGATGTGAGGCTTTGCAGTGGGAAGAGGCTCCGTTCCTCCCAGGAGCTGGCCCGGCCCCAGTTAGCTGCTGGATTTCAGCAGAAGGGCGATGGCTCCCAGAAGCTTGCTGAACTGGTGCTGGGGCCTGCCAGGGGAACCTGCGTTTGAAACGGGCCTTTCCCGAAACGCTGGGGCTTTTCAGCAAAAGCTGAGCATGAGGGTGTCTCTCGTGCGTCCCTAAATCCTGCGCTGTGCCCTCATTTCAAAACTGAGCACCATGCAGCATTAACGGATTCGGAGATTTTTTTTTTTAAGGGAAAGTGCTTTATAAGGTGGGCTCATCCTCTGATATAACGCAGCCAGGTACTCTTCTCCCAGTAATACCTCTACATCTCTAACTTAAAGCTCTGATGCATCTCCTGGAAAGAGCCGGCTTTGTTTTAAAGAGGGAGTGACTAAGAATTTGGGAGTTCCAGCCCTGGAATTGTGCTGGGAGCAGTAGGATGCTTGGTCCTAGTGCCTGACAGCTGTTCCCAGCCAGTAGTTGGTGTGCACAGTCCGGCCCTAGCAGTGTGAAATTCAAAGTCTCCCAGGAATATGTCGCTTGGGTTTATACAAATGTCTCCATAAAAGCCTGTAAATAAAATTAGTTATATATTTGTATTGTTAAAAACAGTGAAAGAAAGTACTTTTGCCTGCTATCCCTGTTTAGTGGGTGGCTTAGGATAAAGGACTGCAAACCCAAAACCCTTTTCCAACTTGTTTAATCATCGGGGGCATTCAGGCTCTTGGAGAACATTGATTTCAGGGCTGTTTCTGAGATGCCCCCATTCAGGCGCAGCCTGTTGTTCCTGCCTTGCAGATGAGGTGTTTGTGCCCCTGTTGTGTTCAGGTTTCTGAGGGGGAGGTTTGGAAAGCTAAGCAAAGTTAATGAGGTGTTAACAACGGGGAGAGGTAAGCTGCTCTGCCTTGGTGTTAGGGAAACTACTTGATCACAGCCCTCTTGAAAGTGTGAGGCTGAAGTTACATGCCAGGGGGATAGTCCCTGTTTTAAATGAGTGTCCTCACATGCTCCTTGCACTAGTTGAACTAATTAGTTTTAAAAGTATCTTTAAAGGGATTCTTTTCTCCCCCCCCCCCCCGCTGTTGAAATAGATAAGGCCAAAACGGAGAGGGATAAGCAAAGCAATGTAGTGATCTGGCTGATGGATGTAACTTGCTGGAAAGCATCCCGGGTGTTTAATTCAGTTTTGTCTGGGTGATGGGCTGGGGGAGCAGGCAGGCCAGGGGTTAACGGGAACATGAGTGAGGCCAGGCAGGGCTGGGGCTGACTGCTCAGGGCAAAATAAACCCTCGCTCACTCAAGGGCTTTCACCGTCAAAGGTGGGTTTGTACCTCCTGGGACTTCATGTGATTGGAGCAAGCCCTGGCTCACTGGGTGAGGAAGACAGAGGTGAGCCGAGAGTGGCTTTGGGTGACATCCGAACCGGTGCTGAACTCCAGGGAGGAGATCTGCAGCTTCCTGCCATAGAGAGGGGAGTCCGAGGTGTGTGCCCTCACTTGGGAAAGGGCACTCTTGTCTTTTCCAGGAGACTCTAAAAGAAGGAAGAAATGAGCTATCAAACACGCTCTGCTCCAGGCAGGGAGGTGTGCCGTGGCAGGAGGTGGTGCCAGGACTGTTGACACACGGATGTGCGTGCGGGTCACCTCACTGGTGATGGAGAATTTCAGCATCACAGAG